TGGTAACCAGTTAGCTTTCTTTCTCTCCATCTTTTCCTTTCACCATCTCTCTGTCTCTATGTCCATATGCTTTGTTTGTGGGTGGTGGTTTATCTATAAATACCAATATTAAAAAGTTTGAATCTGTCTTATTCAGTGGGTAAACTGGGTTTGTATACTAAAAACATACCTGTTGACACTACATAAAAGTTATTGATTCTTCCAATGTCTCTATCCAGAATAGGTTTCCTTATAGTCTTCAGATGGATAAACACAATACAACAATACTGAATGAATTCATCCTAATGGGAATCACAGACCACCCTGAGCTGCAGGTTCCATTGTTTGTGCTGTTCCTCATCATCTACATGATCTCAATGGTGGGCAACTTGGGCATAGTCATCCTCACCATGGTGGACTCCAAGCTACAAACACCAATGTACTTTTTCCTCAGACACCTGGCTATCACGGATCTTGGTCACTCAACAACCGTGGGACCCAAAATGTTGGTGAATTTTCTTGTGGATGAAAATAGAATTTCTTATTATTTTTGTGCTATACAGCTCGCTTTCTTTCTCGTGTTCATTGTTTGTGAGCTTTTCATTCTATCAGCCATGTCCTATGACCGCTATGTGGCTATATGTAACCCTCTGCTCTATGCAGCCATCATGTCCCAAAGGGTATGTCGAGCACTGGTGACAATCCCTTATCTCTACAGCACATTTGTTTCACTTCTGGTCACCATAAAGATTTTTAACTTAACCTTCTGTGGCTACAATGTTATCAGTCATTTCTACTGTGACTGTATCCCCTTATTATCTTTGCTCTGCTCAAACACACACGAAACTGAATTGATCATTCTCATTTTAGCAACTTTTGATTTGATTTCATCCCTTCTAGTAGTTCTTGTCTCTTACCTGCTCATCCTTATCACCATTCTCAGGATGAACTCTGCAGAAGGTCGGCGCAAGGCCTTTGCTACCTGCGCATCCCACCTGATAGTGGTCGTAGTATTCTATGGGACTTTGATCTTTATGTATGTTCAGCCCAAGTCCAGTCATTCCTTCAACACTGATAAAGTGACTTCTATATGTTACACTCTGGTTATTCCCATGTTGAATCCCTTGATCTATAGTTTGAGGAACAAAGATGTAAAATATGCCCTACATAGGACATGGAAAAATATACGCAATATATTTTTTAAAGTTTGATGAACGATATGATTCCTATAGTACATTACTAGCTTTGTACCCTGCTCTGTGTGCCTACAGAAAAAAAATGTAGTAAGCACATATATATTCAACATATATTGAAAAATTACCTTCTGCATGTCCGTCACTATTCCAAATGCTGTAATTGAGAAGAAAAGAACAGAAACTTTCTCCTTTCCTGAAGGATTGATATTTATCATAAGCTTAGTAATAAATAAATTCTATAGCATGCACGGTAGAATGTGTTGAAGACCACAAATCAGGCAAATGAATAGATATTCTGAATGTGAGTGGATACTGAATGTCAATGGGAAAAAGCACTTAGTATAAAAGTAGAGTTACAAGATTCTAGTGTTTCTTTTTAAAACTATTAGAATAAACTTTGTAATGTCAACCTGTGTGTGTGTGTGTGTGTGTGTGTATTTATTTAAACCCTTGCTTTCTGTTTTAGCTTTCAAAGTATTGTGGTGTGTATTAGATTCAGGCCAGGTTGCAAGGAATCTCAGTGTAGGTGGATGATTTGCAATATTCGAT